TCTACCTTATTCATTTATAAAAGTGATAATCATCTAAAGACATTCAGAAAGTATAGAAAATTATACAACAAAAGTCACTTCACTCAAAGAGAATCACTGTTAAGAGTGCTAACTCCACGTCATATTTTTTACATGCACTTTTAAAATTATAATACACAGTAGAAATTATTTCAAAGCATTCTTTTTTATAGTTATCATTGCAAAACAAGTACTGTATAGTCTAGTGTTCTTAAAACCCTGTAAAACTGCTGCATCATAACCTATCAGGTAAATATGTATCATAATTCAGTTAACCATCCCTTTCCTGCCAGGTAGGAACTGAGTTCTGCAAGTTCAACTTGATCAAATTTATTCATCAATATTTATAAAGTATTACACACATAGTATACAGAAATAAATGATCCGTGTTATTATTTGGGTCTAGATGTCTCCCCAGAGCCTCATGCAGTCATAGGAGGGCTTTTTCAGAGGTGGCTGAATCTAGAGTGTGTGATGCTGGGATTAGGGGAGTATGATTACTAAATCAGTCCACTGATTGGTTTGGCACCACCTTAATCCTGGCAACCTGGATACACTATAAGGGACAGAAAAAGGCTTGTCTTGTCCTTTGTTGCTTTGCTGCCTTCTGCCCACCATGAACTGTTTCTCCATTGTGATGCCCCTCTACCAAGCTACCCCACCTTAAAGCCAGCCAATTATGGACTGCAATCTCTACAGACTATGAGCTAAATAAACCTTTTCTCCCTTAACTTGTGGGTTTTGGGTATTTTGTCTCAGCAACAAGAAAAGTAACTAAGACAGTCCCTGTCCTATTTAACTCGGAAAAGAGGTCTGTAATACACTCAGAATGCAATTTCATAAAGACAAATGCTGGTTGATATGGAAGCAGTTTTGGTCAGGTAAACTACTAAAGTCAGGGAAAGTGCCCTAAAGAAGGTGATACCTCACAATCCCCAACTTGAAACTATATTACAAAGCTACTGTGATAAAAAACAGCATGGCACTAGCAAAGAAACAGACCTGAGGACTGAAGGACCCTAGTTAGCAAGACAGACTCCATATTGCTGCTTGACCCACCTGCCTGCCCTTTGGATGAACTCAGAAGGAGGAAGCTTAGAAACCTCCTCCCCTTAGAAAGTCTCTTTAGAAACCATAATTAATCAACTATTGTTTTACAAATGTTCCACTTCTGTACCTTTTGCTTGCTTTGCTAGTTCTATCCCATGGTGGGGGGGGGGGCTAGAAACTGTTGGCCTCAAAGGTGTATAAAACATGTTTGTCTCCCCCAGTCAGGGCTCGAGGCCAATGCTTGGCTCGGCTCCCGGCCGGTAATAAACTCCTGTGTGGATTTAATATCGGTCTCTGGTTGGTTCTTTCTCACTGGGTGCAACAAGGATCAGTGGGATAGATTAGAAGATGCAGAAACAACTCCAGACATACCCAGCTACCTCATCTTTGACAAAAGAGCCAACCATCCTCACTGGAGGAAAGATAGCCTATTTAATAAATGGTGTTGGAAAAACTGGATTTCAACCTGCCAAAGATTAAAACTAGACCCCTATCTTTCACCATGCACTAAACTAAAATTCAAGTGGATTAAAGATCTAAATATTAAAACAGAAACACTAAACCTCCTGGAAGATAAGTTAAGTAGAACTCTTGAAGACATTGGCATAGGAAAAGACTTTAAGAACAAATCCTCAGAGGCACAAGAACTAGCACAAAGAATCAACAACTGGGATCTCATCTTATTAAAAAGCTTCTGCACTGCAAGAGAAACCACCAAGAGAGCTGAGACAACCTATAATGTGGGAAAAAAATTTTAGCAGCTGTTCCTCAACAAAGGACTACTATCTAGAATATATAAAGAACTCAAAAAATTAGACCCCCCAAATATAAAGACCCAATTAAAAAATGGGCATCTGAAATAAACAAACATTTTTCAGACAAAGAAGTAAAACCAGCAAATAAACACATGAAAAAATGTTCAACATCACTGGTCATTCAAGAGATTGCAGATGAAAACAATGCTGAGATTCCACCTCACCCCAGAAAGAATGGCTGCTATCAAGAAATCAGCCAATGACAAATGCTGGCGGGGATGGGGAGAGAAAGGAACCCTTCTCATTGCTGGTGACTGTGCAGACTGATGCAACCACTGTTGAAATCAATATGGAGATACCTCATCTTCCCAAAAGAATTAAAAGAATCATACCACAGCGATATATGTGCACCCATGTTTATAGCAGCAGAGTTTGTAATAGCTAAAGCTTGGAAACAGCCCAAGTGCTCATCAACTGGAAACTGGATAAAGAAGATGTGGGTTTTTTTTTAATAAAATGGAGTACTAATCAGCCATAAAGAACAAAAAACTATAGAGTCATTTATAGCTAAGTGGATGCATATTGAGGCCATACTCTTAAGTGAAATAAACAGGACACACATGTTTAAATACCAAATAGTTTCTCTAGTGTGAGAAACTGAAAGTGTAAATACGGATTAAAAGGATTAATAATGAATAACTGACAATTTCAAATAGGAAAAAGTCCAAAAGGGTAGTGGTGGTGGAAGGGGAAGGGGAAAAGAAAGAAGGGAAAGGAAAAATTATGGGGAAAAAAATGGAAACAAAGTCTGTAAATAGGGAAGGTTGGAGGGGGGGAAGGGCACACAGGTAACTGGGAAAAAATAAGAACCAAAATACATCATATACAAGTACAAGCACCCAATGATAAATGTAAACATATTGTATACCTAAAATGTACCAATAAAAGAATTTAAGGGAAAAAAAATATGGAGATAACTCAAAAAACTAGGATTAGAGGTCCCATTTGACTCAGCTATTCCCCTGCTGAGTATCTTCCCAAAAGAATTAAAAGAATTATACCACAGTGATATACGTGCACCTATGTTCAGAGTGGCACAGTTTGTAATAGCTAAAGCTTGGAAACAGCCCAATTGCCCATCAACTGGAGACTGGATAAAGAAAATATGATTTTTTTTATAAAATGGAGTACTACTCAGCCATAAGGAATGAGAAACTAGAGACATTTATAGCTAAATGGATGCATATTGAGGTCATACTCTTAAGTGAAATAAATAGGTCACACTTGTGTAAATACCGAATAGTTTCTCTGATATGAAAAACTAAAAGTGTGAATAAGGATCAAAATGTATAACTGATATTGTGAAATAGGAAGAAAAGGTCTAAAGGGATAGGGGAAGTGGGAGGGGTAGGGGAAAGGAAAGAAGGAAATAGAAAAAATATGAGAAAAGAAAAAATGGAAACAAAGTCTTTGTAAATAGGGAAGGATGCGCAGGGGAATGGGGGAAAAATAAGAACCAAGATACAGCATGTACAGGTACAAGATCCCAATGATGAATGTAACTGTATTATATACCTAAAATGTACCAATAAACTTAATGAAAATAAAAAGGTGATACCTGGGTTTTCACAGAAGTACAGAAAAATGTATATCAGAGCAAAAAAAGAAAACAAAGAACTTACATTTTTTGCCTTCTAGTATGTCGCTCCATTATCATTGACGTTAGACATGGAATTACCCGAAAAATTTTTTCCTGTACTGTAGCTCTTCAGAGTCCTGCGTAGAAGCCTAAAGTGTTTACCAAAACCTTTTTCTTTAAAGATCTGAAACTCCAGTGTGTTTCAGGAGCCTCATGACATGCTGAAGGCTCTGCTTACTTTGTCGACTACTCAGCTATTGCTATGGAATCACCAAATAATCCACAGGAAATCCTTCCTGGACTGCCCCTTCTGGGACTGTAGTCATCCAAGTCCATGCTGCTTTTGAAGTTCCTTGATGCCTTCAGGCAAGGGACTTTTTAATATTTATTTAATTTTGCCTGCTTTTCTAATGTTAGTGAGAGTGCTGATCCCAAATGGACTGGTCCGTTATTGCCAAAAACAAAACTCTATAGGAACAGTTTGAGCAGAGCAGCTATATGATTTGATTTGAGTTTGTTAAAAGATCATTTTCATTGCCTTGATAAACAACACTATGGGATGAAGGAGGAAGCAGGATGTAAACAGATGGCTTAATTAGTCAGCTATCATCAAAATGCAGGCTACAAATAATAGTGACTCAATCCACAGTGGTAATGTAGAAGCGGAGACAAGTGATTGATTCTACATAGAGTTTCCAGGTAAAGCCAGGAGGGTTTGCTGAGAAACTGGATGAAGAGTATGAGAGAAAGGATCACAGCTGACCCAACTCTCCACGAGAAAGGTGAAGCTGGGGAAACTGAACAAAAGTGCAATTGTGAAGGTGCGCAGGAATTTACTTTCGCATGTGTTGGTTAAGTCCGAGATGGTAATTTGACATCTAAAGTAAAAATGCCAAAGGCACAGTTGAGTATACAAATCTGAAGTTCCGGGAATGGTTGGAAACTGTAAGTATAAATTTTGTAATGATTGGTGGTCATTAAAACCAAGAAAACGGATGAGAGCTCCTCAGAAGTAAATACAGAGGAAAATATAGACAGCACAACACTGTACTGTGCTGCCTATTTCAACTCCTGACTATAGAGCCTCCTCCCAGGGTACGAAGGCGCTGTACGAGAGACCGGATCAGGGTCTCATCGCCGCTCCCGCCCACCCAGTTCAAAGAATCATGAAGCTGCAGTTCACAGTTCTTATGCCCCGCTTTCCTCAACCTAAGGTCAGTTTTTTGGAAAGCTCAGAGGTTCAACAGGTAAAGTAGGGCGGTCACCCGATGTCGGGCCGCCTAACCCAACGGTACTACCTGTCCGCCGAAGCCGGCCACTTTCCCAGACCAGGCTGCACTTTCTCCCTCTGGGCGGCAGAGGACGTGAGCGAGGCGCAGGACGCTCTGGGCCCCAAGGGAGATTTCCCGAGGGGCGCGGCCTGCGTGAGGGGCGGGGCATAGCGCTGGGCGGGGCTTTGCGTGCGGGGCGGGGCTTGCGTGAGGGGGTTGCTGTCAGAAGCCGGCCGGCGGCCGCAGTTCCATCGCGGCGCGGAGCACTGCGGGCGGAGGAATCTTCTCAGACGGCTGCGAGGAAGCCGCTGCCGCCGCCGCCATGATTCCGCTGGAGAAGCCGGGCCGCGGCGGCTCGTCGTCGGCCGCCGCCTCGGGCTCCCGTGCGGCCGGCCCGGGTGCGAGCGCGCCGCGCCGGCCGCCGCCGCCCCAGGCTCGCGGGCTGCTGACGGAGATCCGCGCGGAGGTGCGCACCGCGCCCTTCCAGGACGGCTACCGCCTGAGCCCGGGCCGGGAGCTGGGCAGGTGAGGCGGCTGCGAGGCGCGCGTGGGCTGCGCTGTAGGCCCGCGGGTCCGAGGTCGGCGTGGCTTCGCCCCTCGCCCTGCCGGCCCGTTTCGGTCTGCGGCTTTTGGGAAGGCCGCCTCGTTGACAGCTTGCTTTGCACCGGCTCAGGGTTAACTTCCGCCAGCCGCCTTCCGCTGCCTTCCTCTCTCTCGTCTTCCTGATTGCTTTTTCGCTCTTTTGGTTCTAAAAATTTTAGGTCCCTGTGCTTTATGAGTTCAGGCTGGTTTCTTTCATAGGTCTTCGGCCCTTTTCTCCCCCTCTTGTACTCCGCTGCGAACTGGCTCTCGTCTCCCCCGCGCCCCGCGCCCCGCGCCCCGCTGGTCTTTTTGTAGAGTTGGAGAAAGCTTGCAACTTGGTCAAAATTTTTTAAAGTTGTGAAAGGGGAAAGCAGTCTGGATGCTTTACGTTTTGTAAGTTGAAGAGCGGTGATAAAGCGGTTTCTGTGGGGTTTTGAGACGTCTTTTCTTTCAGAAGAGCGGTTTAGAGAAATTGTCAAATGCACTAGGTTTAGGGCAGACCTCAGTCCATGTCCTCGCCCTGTTTGCAGTTTTCGCCTTCGGGCGAGTGATTTAGACTCCCCAGCCGCACTTTTATGATCTAGGAAGTCAGTATCACAACAATACTTACCTCTGGAGATGTGAGATTCGGTGCCTTTAAAGCACATACCACTGTGTCTGGCACATAGCGTTCGTGTTCCCTTTTATTGCAAACATTTGTCATGGTTGCAAAATAACTACGTGTCGTAATGGGAAAGTGCTTTACTGTTACGACAGCCTTCATCTGGGCGCTCCGAAATGGCATGGTTACAAACAGTGATCAAAATGCATAGCTTTACAAATACTAAGATAACTTCTAGAAATAATATTTTTGAGGCCCCCTTTAAAATGCCCTACTTATTCCCAATGTTAGCAGGAAAACTAAGCTTTCAGGAACATGACCTCACTGGGCTAGACACTAATTGACCGGCCCTGTGCACGCTGCAATTATGACAGAAGAAGAGAGCAGAACTACTGAGCTAGGTAGGATTCTAATTCCTTGACATTCCATACATTCTGAGATAACCCTGCTTACATGAGAAGGAGACGCTAAGTTTTTCATTATTTGATTGAGCTGTCTCTCTTCATTCCACAAAAGGAAGCAAAACTGAAATGTCTTCAGGTGGCAAACATTGTCTTGCAGGTTTTATGAGGAGCATTCTAACCTGAAAAAACTGACTTGCACCCTATCAAGTGGTAGGGTACCAATTCCTCCAGCAGTGTTTCTTTCAACTTTCAAGTATAAAATTAGTTTGCTTGGAAGGTTTTGTTTTATATTTTAAGGTTGAGATAGTTTTTGCTTACATTTTATATATGCATAGTATATTGCCTTATAATAGATATAGAGGAATAAATCAGGAGATAGCTAAACAATGCAGTTAGATATTTAATGTAACAGCTTGAGACTGAAAAATACAATCAATTCTTTTTACCTTTTTCGTTACGGAGTTTAATGCACCAGTTAAGAACATGAGTTGTGGAGTCATTCAGTCTGGGATTGAACTCTCGACTTTTACTGGTTTGGTGGACTTGAGTACATTACCTAACTCTTAATTGCCTCATAGGGTTCTTGAGAAAATTAAACACATCTGTAGCTTTAAGGCTGTGCTTAGCTTAAGAGAAGCATTCAATGTACCACATAACTCAACATATATTACTATTTGCGACGTAACCAGAAAGCAAAAATAAGACATTCTGCACAGTTGTAAAATAATGCTTCTCTGGCAAAGTAACCAAGGAATTGTTAACAATTTACAGAAAATAAAAGTTCTTCCTTGTATTATAAATAGTCCTTTTTGGAGGTTCCTACATTTTGCCAGTAGATTGTTTTAATGTAGTTGAATGTGTTTATGTATGATATTTTTACTAATAAGATGAAAAACTTGGCTTTTTCCAACTGTTAATGCTGTTTGCATATCTGTTGATTGCTCTCATGCTAATATATAATGGCCTTCAGGAAAGTGGAAAAAGTTCAAAGATGTAACTGTTTAAACAGAAATCCCTTTTTTTTAGGTGTTTCTCTTATCCAAAAGCTTTCTTTCAATGTGATGGCTGTTCAAAGAGGAGTTTTAAAACTCCAGTATTGATTCCAGAGTAATGACAGAGTACAGTGTTATTATTTTTAAGAAATGTCCTATTCTTTCATGTCCTTGGCAGAGTTCTTAGCAACCTAAATCTGTGTAAATATATGATGGAAAGCTTGCTTTTACTGCTTCAGAGTTTGATTTGTTATTCCTAAGGCTTGTTACCTTTAAGTCAGTTTTGTGCCAGTATAAACAACATTGATGATTTCATTACTGAGCAACAGGACACATGACCTTGGGTTCTGCCAATTTTTTCATATATAGTTCCTGTGAGTTTATTGATAATATAGAAATAGATGTTTTTATCAATTTAAAGTTCTGCTAGTTTTGTATCAGATGATTTGCCTTGCAGGTGTTTTCCTTAGGTAGTCCCCAACTTTAACATTTTAAAATATATTCATAAATTTTATCTTTAAAAAGGTTTAAGCCAAAGGACATCTCTTGTTTTTTATATTACATACTCATAGTTTGATGACTGTATGGGGGGGATTATAAATGTGAGTTTCCTGCGGATGTTACAGTTTTATAAGTGCTTTCACTTGTTTTGTTCCGTTGACTCTCACCACTTGTTGTTTTTCTTGTTTGGAAAACGCTATTTTTCACATTAGAAAACAACTCAAAATTTGAGTCTTCTGAAAGACTGCAGAGCTGAGACTCCTGACAATCATTCCTGTTACAGCACTGATGTTTTACAAACAAGGAAACTTGTTAAATAGTGTTATCCTGGTAGAATCTGCCTTGTTTTTGGACAAATGTTGTTTAAGATTTCTTGTCAGTTACTCATTGGTTTGAAGAAGCATATTTACAAAGGGTTTGGAAGTAATCTGATACTTCTGGACAGATAAAAGAAAACTGTGGTTGATCAAGAGCAGTTTTAGGAAGTATATCTTAATTTAAAATATATGAATTTAAAGATTTAATGAATTTCAAGCTGGACATGGTGGTACATGCTTGTATTACCAGCCCTTGGGACCCTGAGGCAGGAGGATTGCACGTTTGAGGCCAGCCTGGGCTACATAGTTCAAGGACAGCCGGAACTATACAGCTAGACCCTGTCTCCAAACAAAAAGCAAAGCAAAAAAAAAAAAAAAAAAAGAAGAAAAAAATCCTGTAAATAAAAAATTGTTTAAAATCTGATAATCGAACCAAATACATTAGAAAGCTAAGTAGCTGTAGTCATTGATTCACTTCTCAGAAATAGGAATTACAGTATGGTTTAAAAATTTTTATTTTTATACTGTATATTTATTAAGGGATTTTACACTTCATGTAGAGTTCAAGTTAAAGGGCTGAGGGGCATAGCATAGGGGTAGAGAGCACTTGCCCAGTGGGAGGCCCTGGGTTTGATCCTCAGCACCAAGGTGAAAAAAAAAAATCACCCTCCAGAACTCTCCTGTTCTGTGTTTTGTTCTGTTTTTGTGGGTTGTTGTTTTTTTTTTGGCATGAATTGTTATCATTGGTTATATCATAGATCTGAAAGTGCTGCAAACAGTAAAATAGCTGCTGATTACTGATGTTTTGCTAAATGCTATACACTTTAGAGAAATAATTTTGTTTCGCCTTTATCATCATCATTGCCATCATTTTACAGATGAATCCAGGGCCCAGAAAGATCAGTTATATTGCCCACAATCACACAGTTACTAGCCAGAATTTAAAGCCAAGTTTGGCATTGATCTTTTCTTAAAATTTAGGAGCTGGGGATTTAGCTCAGTGGTGCCATGCCTGGCCTGGCAAGCACAAGGTCCTGAATTTGATTCCCAGTGCCACCAAAAAAAAAATTTTTTTAATTTAATTTATAAAGTAAAAAAGTTATAGTAAGTTATGGTTAATTTATTGTTGGAGAAATAAATTTTTTTTTTACAAATTTAGTATGGCCCAAGTGTTCAGTGTGCACGAAGTCTAGCGTAGTGTGCAGTGATGTCCAGACCTTTGCATTCACTTGCCACTCACTTATTCCCAGAGCATCTTCCGGTCCTGCATGTTTTCTACACCGAGAATGTCGTAGACAGATGTATCTAAATGGTAATTTTCTGTACCTTTTCTTACCATTGTTTCACTGTTGCCTACAATATTTAGTGCAGTAACATGGTGTCCAAGTTGTAACCTAGATGCATTAGGCTCTACCATACAGCCTGATTGTGTAGTAGGCTCTGGCATCTAGGCTTATGTAAGTACACTTTAAGATGTACATACAACCATGAAATTGCCTGATGGTGTGTTTCTTAGAACATATCCCCATTGTTGAGTGATGTATGGCTGTTATATATGATAAGCACATAAGACACTACCCTAGACTTCAGAAGTTATTCCCAAAAGGAACAGGTCCATTACTGGCCTCTGTACAGGCAAGATGACACTTCCTGGAAGATCTTATGGAGGAAATAGTGGAGCCTTAGAAAATGGAAGGGATCTTGGTAGAGTTGATGTTGTGCTGGCATTGGTAGCACAACAAACAAGGTACAATGGCAGGAAAGTTCAGTGAAGAAAGGATGGGAAGTAGTTCAATGTGTTAAACATGATAAGGTTAAATTGTAAAAAAAAAATAAATATTTACCAAAACAATAACAGCGTATTACTGGATGTGCCATCCGACATATTTGCATACCTGCCGTGTTCATGAACTATTCAGTGGAGCTCTTGTCTGAATCCTAACACATGATCTTCTCCCAGAGCTCTGTCACTATTGTTAATAATCTCTTATATCAGTTGATGATATACATATACACAGTACTTATACTAAAATTCTTGAAGTCATTCTGAATTTCCATCTTCCTTTTCTCCACCTATTTCTACCTACAACACACCCATCAGGGAGTGTTAATATATCTTAATCTTGAATGTCTTTCAAATGTGCTGCTCCTTGAAGCTTGGTGGAGATGTTCACCTAATGATTTCGTGGGATAAAATATTTCTATGAACAGAAGAACTTTGATCTGAATGAGTGCTGTTATGTAGCTTGTTACGAAATTAAACAACCAAAGGGCTATGTCTCAGGATTTGTCACTCAGCATTTTATTACTAGTGGTAACAAAAACAGAGGGAATGAAAGTCATATTTGTGGTGTACAGTTGCTGGGAAGGAAGAATTAGTACTCAAAATTAATCTACAATGATGAACTATAATCTCAAAATTAGAATTTAATGGAACAAATTAAAGCTTTGCATTTAATTTTTCAGAAAGGATTTTTAAAACACAGTTTGTAGATACCATCTAGGTAAAAGTTCAAGGGGTACACAGTCTAGATAATTGACATGTATTTCTGAACCAAATATAAAATATGAAAAACCCGTCAATTTTTAGCAAGCAATGTTAAATTATATTGTGCTAAGAGCCACAAAATAATAATCCTGTAATGCTTTGATCATATAACTGCAGTAGTTGGTTTAGATTTTGGTTGGCATATTTTCTAATAAGCTGTAATAGTGAGGGGGTCAAAATATCCTGTGGATGTGAGAAATTATGGCAAATTTGGAAGAGAAGAGGGATTGGCAGTTGGCAGATTGTATTCTCTGTATTTGATAGCTGATAGATAGTCAAGTGGAAGAGAGAATGGGGTTTTTTCTGTTTCATTCCATGGAGAACTCAGACGCCATGTAGCCCTTCAGTTGAAGTCAGGCTTGGCTTATGATGAAAGCTTTATTAAATAGTATGTGGAATAGATCACTGTACCTCATAGTTTGAAAGACGCCATTGGCACATGACATTAGTTAAAATATCATGATTTCTAAGTTGCCTTCCAGCCTAAAGATTCAGTGGATGTATACAAGCGAAACACATTTAATCTGTGGCAAGTACCATGCTAAATAATCGACATGTATTACATATATATTATTTTTATGGATTCAACCAACTATGGGTCAAAAATTATCAGGAAGAAAAATGCATCTGTACTGAACATGTGCAGACTGTTTTCTGGTCATTCCAAAACAGCACACTGTTACAGCTATTTACTCATATATAAAATTTACATTGTATTAGGTATTATAAGTAATCTGGAGATGATTTCAGGTGCACTGGAGGTTGTGTGTAGATTATATGTAAGTACATATGTATTATATGTAAGTACATTCAATATGAGAGACTTGAGTATTCTCAGATTTTGGTATCTGTGGGGGTCCTGGAAGCATCCTCTGTGGATAATGAGGAATGAGTGTATTTTAATTTTCACAACTCTGATGTAGATGTTATTCCTGTCTCTTTGTACAGATAAGAAAAGTTTAAGTTGAGGTTAAATAAATTACCTAAGATTATGAGTCAGATCCTATTTGTGGGATTCAGGCCAAGGTCTGATTCCAGAGATCGTACCCTTAACCAGTATTGTACTGGTTCCTCTATTTGACTTGCTTATTACATTAGTGACAATTTGTAATGTGTCAAGATAATACTTGTTGTATCTTTTTCTGTAGGAACATTACACATTTCCAACTGATATTGTTATTAGACTGACAGTTGAGTGAGATTCTTATTTTTATCATATGGGAAGGTGATAGTTTTCTCAAAGTCAGCTGAGGGCAGTGAAATTCATCATATTAGGAAATCTGGTGACCAGTTTCTGTTTTAAAATTTTAAATGTTTTTTAAAGATTTAAATCATTTTCTGTACAAGTGTGGAAGAATCAAGTTATTTTAATGAAACTGCAGAAAATACCAGCTTTAATATTTGGCTGTGGTCTTAGTCTGTTGTGTGCTGCTGTAACAGAGTACCATAGACTGGTTAGAAATGAGCAGGTACATATTTGGCTCACAGTGCTGGAGGCTGGGAAGTCCAAGATTAAGGGCCCATGTCTGGCAAGGCCCGTCTTGCTTCTTCATGCCATGGTGAGGGAGCACGCGTGGGGTGGGGGATGTGCCTCATTCGTCCCTTTATCAGGATCCTGCTCCCTCATGACCTTTTCCCCTCGTAATGGGCCCATTTCTCAACTCTGTTGTTTCTGTGCATGAATTTAGGAGGGCACGTTCAAACCGCACTGTTTATTCAGAAAACTGATTTTTGTAATTTTAAAAGTTACATTTTATTAAATAAATCTATAAATCAATACATGTGTGGCCTATTATAAATCAAATGATGTTGCTATTTTGTGATTACTAGGATAAATCTAAATTTCTGCTGATGTATTTAGAAATGTTTATTAAAATTTACTGTCTCTGGAAAGTTACCAGCTTTAACGGTGAATGTTTTTGTTTAATTCTAGGGGAAAGTTTGCAGTGGTGAGGAAATGTATAAAGAAAGATTCTGGAAAAGAGTTTGCAGCAAAGTTCATGAGAAAAAGAAGAAAAGGCCAAGACTGTCGGATGGAGATAATTCATGAGATTGCTGTACTTGAACTAGCACAGGACAATCCTTGGGTCATTAATTTACATGAAGTGTATGAGACTCCCTCAGAAATGATCTTGGTTCTGGAATAGTAAGTAATTGTCTTTTTTGGGTTAAATTTGATAGTTTATACTTCCATATAGGATGTCGCTTCTGCGTGAGAATGTGCATAGCCTGGTTCTCTGGAAAGGATTTTCCAAATCATCTTGATGTGTTCCTCATAAATACTTTTACTCCACTTACTGCATCACCTACTTCCCAGCTTTTATTAGATACCTGGCCTATTCTCCCCTTTGTGGAGAAGATTTGGCCATCAGACAGACACCCTTAGCATCTCTCCAAAGCCTTCTAAGCAAGAAAATCATATCAGCATATTTGTGCTGTCAGTACATTATGTTGGATACGTTTACCCAGGATGATAATCATTTGTCTTTACTGCCTTACGCCTTTCCCATCTGTTTGACAGAAGTGATTCAACTATGTACTGCCCAGGGTGAAAACCTTATCTGTGTTAATTTTTATTCTTCCTTTCCTGGGACCTATGTTTGTTTTTTAATCAGTTGTGTAACCTCTTTTAAAGTTTCAGTCTCTTCTCCTTGGGTGGCACCTTTCCCTTTGTCTTCTGTTATTTCTTCTAAAAATCCCGGTCCTCAGCTTTGACTCTTCTTAAACTGTCTTTGCTGCATTGCTCTTTTCTTTATTGCTGTAATTCTTAAAAGGATAGTCTGAAAGCTTTATAGCTTTCCTCGCCCTCCAATCAGTTCTGTTCTACTTCACTGATCCATTCATCTGTTCATGTGGCAATAACTCCATTCACTTTTCAATATAATGCCATCTGCTCTCTTAAAACTTTCATGAGGTCACCAGCCCTGCTTGCCAAAATCAATCTCATTTTAGTGTTTGTTCTACCTCTTACTATCTTTAAACATGAGATATAATTCATTCTTGAAATTACTTCCTTGGTGGTTATAGCTCTGTTATTTGTTGTTCTGTTTTGTTTTTCTCCTCAGAAATTTTTACCCTATTCTGGATATTGTAAGTGTTCCCTAGAACTCTGTCAGTGTTACTGTTGTTACGCATTTTTGTTGAGTAAACTTACTTTGGATGATGATTTTTTTTTATGCCTTCAGCTATTACTTACATGATATTTTCAAATTTTTCCAACCTCAGCCCCTCTCCTGAGTTCCAGTTACCTACTGCATATGCATGTGTCCAACTGTAAAATCATTATCAATTCAGTATCAGTATACTTGCATTGCCCTTCTAATGCTCGTTTTTCTTTTGTTCCCATTTCCATTGGTGTAGCCGTTGTTTGATTGCTCATGCTAGAAGCATTGATCCTGTCCTTGATTCCTTTATCTTGTTTAGCCTCATAGATTATGAGTTACCAAGTCTCCCATTTGAACCCCTCCAGTAGCTGCTTAGCTGATCATCTTGGCTTCCACTCTAGGACATCCCTCTGGTGCTGTTAGGTGACAGTCATAGATGTCCTGTGTTATTTTCTTATCTAGAAGCCTTTGATGGCTTCTGTTACTTAAGTGATCAGGTTTTTTAGAATCCAATCAGTATGATTTGGCCAAAAATTTTTGTTTTAATTTGAAAAAGAACTCTTGGAGATATATTCTAGATAAGGAGATATCAAGACCCTCAGCCAGATCAGTAAATTACTGCTAAGGAAACAGGCAAGTTATGATCACTGTATCAGGCATTACTGAAGCATCTGCTGTGTGCCCTAGATATAGTAGGTGTTGATAATATAGAAGTAAGAATAACATAGCCCCTTCCCTCCAGGTGCTAAAACTAGCAAGGATATTAAATATAAATGATTGCAGCAATAGTGGGGTTTTACCAAGAATTCTTGTTAGGTGCTATGTGAACAAAAAGTATTATAGCTATAACGTGCTAAACATTAAATGTGTGCTGGGCACTATGCCAAGTTCACTTTGTACATGTGGTTTATGAGTTAGTATATGCTTTAATATATATGATTTATACATTTAAAAACAAGAATTTTGATTTGTTTGTTGTACTGGGGATTGAATCTAGGGCCTCATACATGCCTCTGGCTTCTGAAAGTCTTTTTCTGTGAAACTCCCTTCTCTCTGATATCTGCTTGCAAATTTGAGCTGCCTTAGCCTCCTCAGATTTCCAGTGTCTTCTCAGTATAACAAGGCCACCTCTTCTGCTTGGATTTCTCCCCTACCCTGTACCACTACCCGTAAGTTGCCTCCAGGTAGGAAACCAGGGATCCAAGAAAGCTCACCTTGTTTCCTTCCTTCCTCTTATGGTCCCTCAGTTCAGTTAGTGGATGAAGCTTACATTAAGCAGAGTAAACAATGACACAGCTGCACATTGTACTGAAAGGAGTTCAATCTTAAAACCACACAAGTAGCTTTCTACTTCTAAGAGTAGTCTACATTTGAAGTACTACCTTGAAATTTTTCAGAAAAGTGAAGTTAGCAATATATTTTGTACTCATGTGAACTAGTTCAGTTGTTGAGAAAACAGGAATGAAACCCTTTGTTAAAACAGATGGGGTGGCACACACCTGTGCCAGCACTTGAGAGGCTGAGGCAGGAGGATTGCCATGAGTTTGAGGCCAGACTGGATTACATAACAAGACCCTGTCTCCAGAAAAAGAAAAAAAAAAGGATGTGGAGATGCATGCCCCCTACAAGGCTGAGGGTGAAGCAGGAGGATTGCAAGATTGTTTTATATAATAAATGAATTCTCTTAGTTTTCTTAGAGTTTGAATTTTACATTTGGCCATTTTACTTTTATCATTTTATATTGATATTTTTGTTTTTATTACTGCATGTTTATAGTACATAATGATTACATTTGTCACATGGAGTTGGTCCATGTACATAACACGTCTTCTTTTTACATCCCCTCTTCTTCTCTCCCCCCTCCTAAATTTTATTGTTGATCATAGAAATGACTAAGGAACTCAAATGACAATAAATTGTGATTAAGAAACATTTTCAGCCAAAGTGCAGTTCCTTCCTTGAGTTGTGAGTGTCCCTGCACATGGTGGCCTGTGTGTGCAGAGGCTGTGGCCATACTCTCCAGGACCTGCATCTCCAGCTAGTAGGGACTGAGCTGGGTCTGCTCCTACTGTACTTTGCTTCAGGTGGTCAGATTGAAATTAACACCAGAGCACTACCAGGCTGTGGCTAATTTACTCTTTATTTTTGTGGTACAAGTTTACCATTTCCTTTGTATGATTTATATTTTACTTTAATTTGTCTAGCGCTGCTGGGGGCGAAATCTTTGACCAGTGTGTTGCAGACCGAGAAGAAGCCTTTAAAGAAAAAGATGTTCAGAGGCTCATGAGACAGATTTTAGAAGGTGTTCACTTTTTACACACTAATGATGTAGTTCATCTTGATTTGAAGGTAAGATCTGCATTCTTTTTCAATTTGAAATTGCTAAAAAATGACATTCAGAATTTTAAATATGTTTAGCAGCAACTTATCCAAATGTGTATCAAGTTTATGGGTTTATTAGATAACAAAGATATTAGAATTGAGTCTTTTTAAAATTTTTTTCTTACATGTTTGCAGTTCATGCACTTTACGGTCATCTTGGGGAGTGGTTTCATGTAAAAGCCACAGATTGTTTCTTTTTTTTTTATTCCCCTTCCCACTTGGTCCTTCTTTGCTTCTCTTCTAATTCCCCTATCCCACTTTTAATTCTTGTTGATATTATTAATCTTAGCTTATGCAGTGGCATATAATGTTTACATTAATTGAGGTTATTAAGTTCCTGTACATGGCATATCTTTATTCTACTTATTTCTTTTCCCCTTGCTCCTCACCACTTGCACTTTTTCCCTTGGACCACTTCCCTATTATAGCAAGGGATTCATCTCCTTGTCCCCTTCTTTCCAGCCTTTAATATCTTCTTTGTTTGTACTTTGCCTCCCTCAAATGAGAGCTATCATACAGTATTTAAGTTTGTTTGTCTGGTTTATTTCACTCAACATTTTATTTTCCAGGTGCATCCATTTTCCTACACATGTCTCAAATCTGTCATTCTTTGTAGCAAAGTAGTATTCCATTATATATAGATACTACATTTTCTTTATCCAATCATCTGTTGATGGATATACAGGATGTTCCCAGGATTTAGGTATTGGGAGTTGTGCTGTTATAAACATTGGTATGCATGTATCTCTGTAGTGTGATGACTTAAGCTCTTTGGGGAAGATGCTTCGCAGAAAGATAGTTGGGTCATATGGAATTTCTAATTTCAATTCTTTGAGAAGTCTCCCTACTAATTTCCATAATGGTTGTACTAGTTTACATTCCCACCAACAATGAAGAAGGGTTCCTTTTTCACCACAGCCTCACCAGTAATTTGTTATTGCTTGATTTCTTAATGATTGCCATTCTTTCTGGCTGGAATCTTAGTGTTGTTTTAATTTCTATTTCTCCAGTAGCCAGAGATGTTGAGCATTTTTTCATGTATTTGTGGACCATTTGTATTTCTCCTCCTGTGAAGTGTCTGTTTATTTCTCTTGCCCATTTCTTGCCTGGGTCTTTAATTTTAAGTGGTTTAATTTTTTCGAGTTCTTTATATTCTAGAAATCATGTGTCTGAGGAGTAGCTGGAAAAATTTTGTTCCATTTTTAGGTTGTCTCTTCACTCTACTGATTGTTTCTTTTGCTGTACAGAAGATTTTTACTCTGATAAAATTCCATTTGTTGATTCTTGCTGTTATGTCTGGTGCAATTGAGATTGTGTGTAGAAAATCCTTCCCTACATCTATGTCTTCAAGTGTTTTACCTATTTTATCTTCCAGTAGGTTTAATGTTTCTGTTTAAATGTTTGGATCTTTGATCCATTTTGATTTTAATTTAGTACATGGTGAGAGCTAAGGGTCCAGTTTCAATGTTCTGCACACAGTAACCAGTTTTCCCAGCTCCACTTGTTGAATAGGCTGTCTTTCCTCCAACATATGCCTTGGCACCCTTTGTTGAGGATCAAATAGCTGAATGTGTCTAGGAAAGTTTATCCTTGGTTCTATTCTCTTGATCCATGTATCTGTTTTTGTTCAAGTACCATGCCATTTTTATCACTGTTGCTTTGTTAGCATAGCTTGAAGTCAAGTATTGCTATGCCTCCTATTTTGCCATTACTGCCCAAGATTGCTTTTGCTCTTCTGGGTCTCTTCTAGAATTGAGTCTTGACTCTTATCCTCCAGTCAGTTGGTTTTATCAGGGAGATAACATACAGGTGAGTATATAGAAGATGAATGATGACGAAACAATCCTTCCATAATATAACTCAGAATATTCCTGGAATAGGTGACAACTTCTGGCAAAGATAGAACTTGAAGTAGACATTAATAAAATGTTAGGATTTGGAAAGTAGAGAGGAATGAGAAAATTATCTCAGGAAAGTTAGAAACACTTGTGATATGTTTGGGAAAAAATAACTACTTTCACTGGAATTGAGACGTTATATTGAGGAAATGCCGTATTTCAGGGGTTTCAAATGCCATAAAGAAACAAATGGTTTTTGAGGAGAAATATTTGAAAAGAAATGTTTTGAAAAATTAGGTAGACAGGAATTAATAAATGAGAACAAAATGAGAGGCAGTTTCTTACTTAAAAGTGTCAAAGAGGTGGTAGAGGAGGGAGTAAAGAAAAAGGACAGTGTATCACTTCTAATGTTTTCAAGTGGTCAAAATGCCAGCTGAAACTAAAACAGAAAAGTAAATATCAGTGGCAGAAAAGTGCAGGGATCATTCTAGCTTCAGTTACTCTGGTATTCGGGGCTCTGCGAATATTGCCAGTACTCATGCTCAACTCTGCGTTCTGAGAGTCCCAGAAAGTGAGCTGAGGTGGATGCTGCTGTTTTAACCTCAAAACTGCCCAGACTCAGCAGGAAGGAGCTGGTCTTTGTTCACAGCTCTTTTCAGAAGTCCTGAGATTCATGCTAATCTGCCAGCTTGGATCAACATGGAAGTAAGTGTGCTGGTGGATGTTGGGTCTCCACTGGCCAGGCCTGTGTTGTTCTCAAGCCAGTTCTATTTCTGAAGGAAGAAAATGGATACTTAGGAAGCAAATAGTAAATATTCTCCATGGGTATTCTTATTGTATACCTTGCGGGGACTAGGGACTGTGGTAGAAAAGTTTCAGATCCCTGTAGATCTTTTGATGGGTACTTGTATATCAAAGTCCACATATGACAGCCCTCAAACAGAACATACCACAGTGACTATAGTTCCTGGTTTACTCCACTTACAAAGATAGCCTTATAGGCTAGAGGAAATGGGATTAGGAAGGAAGGCAGCCTGAGAACACCATGGCCACTGGACACCCCCAACAAGGTTTTCTATCCTGATCTGGATCCTCATCTCTCCACATCATCTGCTGATGCACCTTGCCCTCTGCTATGGGGTGCCCTCTAGCAGGAAGTAGATGCTTTATGGCAGTGGTTCTTCATCTCTGCCACACATCAGAATCACCTGGAAGAACTTCTAAAAACAAATTAATAGGCCCCAACACTAGAGATTTTTATGCAGGTAGGGCGAGTTGATGCTGCTATTTCCTATCCAGGGGCTATTTAGGGAAGTACTGCTGTAACACACATTCCGTAGACTTTTTATACACCTCGTTCTGTGTAAATAACAGTGCACACAGGAACACTGTTAAGGAACTACAGTATGTATAATCTGGAGATTGACTTCCAGAGTAGCCTCGATCATGTCCGATTTGAAATCAGGTGGGAGGATAATAGATAACCCTTTACATACATAGAAGTTTTCTTTCTTTCTTTCTTTCTTTCTTTCTTTCTTTCTTTCTTTCTCTTTCTCTCTCTCTCTCTCTCTCTTTTTCTTTTCTTTCTTTCTTTCTTTCTTTCTTTCTTTAATACTGGGGATCAAACTCAGGACCTTGTGCTTCCAAGGCAGGCGGCGGAACCACTGAGCTAAATCCCCGGCTCTACATACTAGTTTTCTATAGATCATAGGAAGGAAAATAGTCTGGAAGCTTTCTTATTTTATTCTAAAAGATGCCAATATAGATTGTTTTTTGTAATACTGTGGCTATCGTGGACAGTCACAACGCTTGTGAACGTGATGTTTCACAGGGGCACTTTTTGAAGGCTAATGTGGATATTTGTACATCCACGTGTAGTGCCAGAATATGAATGCTAAAGATCACATGGTTAAAACCCTTCATAACATAGGCAGTTGGAGGACAGGACTGATCTTTGCTTTGCCCTTTTAGTTTGTCATATGCTTAAAAAATTCAATAATCTTCACTGCAAGACATTGTCACCTGTGTTTCCCTAGAGAATATTGACCAGGAAGCAACAGCCTCTGCAGTCATCACTCTAGTTAAGAAGTCTTTCTCAGTATTGATTATACAGAAAAAGTCTCCAAAGAAATGTTTATGCTGTAGCTTTTTTTGTGTTTGGTTTTGCACTCTTTGATTAGTGAATCATATTGGTTTTATTTTTTATAATATTCTATTAGTTGTATGATATACAAGGTCTTCTAGGAACAGAACCCCAATTAAATGACATTGCACCTGTAGGAAATGAGCTTTCAATTATGACAGCTCAATCTGTGACCATTATTCAAGAACTAATGAGGTAGCTAGTCAGACAGGTCACCAACACCATGTGTCATGGATCTTTGATGTCACTTGAAAGCAGTCAAGGTGAATATTAAGTTTGTGAATACACAGTTCAACTGTGTTTATACGAGAAAATTATATCCCTTTCTCCCAATACCTTCCGTGTAAATCATATTCCTTTCTCTTCAATGCACTGGCTGTACAATTCCTTCCAGATTTAATGGAGGCCTTGCTGACAGTGATGCAACTTTGATGTTGGCAGCTGGGCTCTCCATGTTTCCTATACCCAGAGGAACTAGAAGACAAGGTGGTCTGAAGCTTGGAGCCTTTCTTCAGCCCTCACACTCCTTGTGTATGCACTCAGTCTCTATGGAAAATGCTGAGGGTTCGCGTCTCTACGTGAACTGTTGAGATGGGGTTGGTGTGGCAGTGGTCCAGGTGGGAGAGTTTCTACCAAGAGGTTACTTCTGGTTGACCTCTCTGAGTCAACATTGTAAGTATAAAATTCTCACTGAAGAGATTGCTTTAAAGGTACAGGACCTTTGTACTTACAGTGTTGATTATCAGCCTGTGGAAGAGTTTGAAGGACTAAATTATTTTTTAAAAGATTATTTTCCCATAGTGCTTCAAAGCTTGATATATTCCTCATGTTTTTAACTCTGGAACTTGACAATCCTGTTATGTGAATTAATAGGTTACATAGTCTCCCATTTCTCAATGGGAAATTTTGTTTAGCTTCATTGTAGATCCTAAATGATCAGTTTGCCAACAGAGTGATTCATGGAAGGCTCTCAGCCAAGTACCTTA